TGTATTTTTATGCACGTGGTGTACATATACAAATACAGATATGTATATTTACTGTTCTAACTGTTTTATTATCATTATTATTATTATTATATTAGGCAAAAGTAATGTTTTTATCAGACAGAAACAACTGTTCACTCTTTTACTTTATATTAAAAAGTGCAGTACCGAAAATGCAGTGCTTTCCCATAAAAAGAACAAATATGCATAATTATCAAATAATTTAGAATAATTATAACAGCCATTATCTTTCCATTAGCACAAAGCAATCATTACGCTTTGAAATAATCACCTAAATGTTTCTTATTAATGTATTCATTAGTGTTCCTCCAGCTAAAATGTACTTCAACAAATCCAAATAGCAAATATTTAGTTTGTTATCTGCATTAACAAGTAAAAAATATTGTTTTAGGCTCACCACGACACCATGGCTTAGAATACAATGTTTTCAGCTACACCATCTTGTTTAAGTGCTCTGCTCTCTCCACCTGATGTTTGGCCTCACAAATCCAGCAGGTTTCATAAATCCCGGTCAATGGGAGATTTTAGTTCAGACGGAGAGCTTCATGTAAATTGTAAAGCACAACCAGTCCTGTGTTTCTAAATCTGGAGCAGACGGCAAGCATCCTAGTTGGCAGTGTCTGTTGGTGATTTTCTGAATGCCACAACATGCCTGTCTGTGTTATGGATCAGACCGACTATTGCCCACGCTGCGAGGGCTTTGACTTGGCAAAAGAGCGATAGAGGCAAAGGGGTTATGCTCCAACAGAGCGCTGAGTCGTTTTAGGGAGAACTCTGGCTTCCTGATTTCTTTGGCAAACCCTCAAACGTCTCACGGTCTCGCCATGACTTCAGCTCCTGTATCTCTCCTATGCTCTTGAAAATAAAGATTATTTATTGGCATATGGTTCCACATTTAACATCCATGGAACCATTCCATTGCACAAACGGTTCTTTATTCTAGCAAAACTTGTTCAGATTATTAAAATATTCTTCACGCTTAGAAAAAAATTGGTTCTTTTAAGAACTGTTCACTGAAAGGTTATTTGGGGAACCAAAAATGGGTCTTCTATGGCATTGCTGAAAAAACACGTGTCCATTTGGAACCTTTATTTAAAAGAGTGAACACTACCGGTCAAAAGATTAGAATTAAAAATGTAACACTAAATGTTAAATGTTTTTGAAAGTTTCATACTCTCGCTGATTTAATCATAAATAAAGTAAAACTGGAATTTTGCGAAATTCTATTACAATTTAAAATGACTGTTTTCTATTTTAAAATGCAATTTATTCTTGTGATGGTAAAAATGAATGTTCAGCTGCCATCATTACTCCAGTCATCAGTGTCACATGATCCTTGATAATAGTAAGAAATGTTTTCTTTAGCATCAAGATTTCTGAAGGATCATGTGACTGAAGTTTGAAGTAGTGATCCTTATTATTCAGCATTGCCATCACAGGAATACATTACATTTTGTAGTATATTAAAAGACAGGTTCTTTTAAATTGTAATAACATTTCACAATATTACTGTTTTACGGTTTTGATCAAATGAATGCAGCCTTGGTGAGTGTAAGAGACTTCTTAAAGGGGTCATATAATGGTACATGCACTTTTACAAGTTGATTGTACTGAAATGTGTGTTGGCAGTGCCTGTATATACACAACCATCATATAATGATAAAAATCCATCCAGTGTTTTTGTTTTAATCTCCTTATATGTTTTCCCCTGCCTCAAATTGAGCCGTTCGTTTTTGTGACGTCAATAAAACGGACGCCCCTCCCACGATTGTTGATTGACAGGAGTCAGCACAGGAGTTTCAACACAGACCCGCCCTCGCTCGTGAGAGCTGTCAATCATAGTCTGCGCGGACCGGCGCGGTCATTGTTGATATGCTGGAGCACTGTCTATGAGCAGAATGGCGTCTAAGCGATTGTGGTGTTCTGTTCTTGGGTGTAATAACGAACACAGCAGTCATTTTAATGTTCCCAAATCCGAACCGCTGAAGACGCAGTGGCTGAGTTTGTTTTCGAAGGGAATATTCCCCACGAGCAACGTCAATGCTCTCATGTTTGCGCGAATCATTTCTCAGCAGACTGCTTTATAAACGAGGATCAGTATAAAGCTGGATTTCCTAAGAAGCTGCTCGAATAAAGAAAGAAGCTGCCATGAATAAAGGATCGGTACCAGATATTCGTGTTCCTGCTGAATCTCCAGAAGAACTGAAGTGAGTGTAACGTTTTATTAAACTTTATATTAATATTTATATCTTTGCAAATCGCTAGCTGCACGCTTCACGATGAATGCGGCTAAGGTTTACACTCAGGGTACATTACGGCATGTTTTCTATGTACGACGTTCTCAATATAATTCATAATCCCACGTTTATACTGAACAATGTGTTACAAACGGTGTATGCACAGAACAGAGGGGCGGAGTGAGCACAGCTCATGATCATTTAAAGTCATATGCACTGAAACGGCGTGCTGAAAACAGAGCTGTTTTTGACCAGGTAAAATAAGTGTTTTCTTACAATACTAATGAGAATTTTTAATTAAAGTATATTACAAAGTTTTAATTTAGACCCTAAAGAATCATATTAGCTTGTACAAAAATGGCATTATATGACCCCTTTAAGAGACAACATTTTTACCGGTAGTAAATATTGTGCCCATGCTTTCTGTTCCTCTTTTCTACTCTTTCTTTCTACATCCTAACGCAGTGTGACCAAGATTTGACCTGTTTTGTTTTGTTTAATGAAGGCCTGTTTCCAAAGAAACAGAAAATCCATTCCATTCAAACCAGAATGGCAGAAAGATGAACCTTTGATGGGGCCACTCTTAGTTTGGGTGATTATTGGGTGTGCTCGTTGGGCCAATTGTGTAGCGTCGGTGGATTTGATTGAGTTCTGTCAAGGTGCAATCATTGCTGCATGGTTCCTCAGGGTTCAGATTCAGAGCAACTTGTAATTTTCTAGAGCTCAATGAAATGGCTGTAGTAGATTGAAGAGCAAAGTCACAAGAAGAAAAAAAACATCATAATGAGGGCTGGTGCTGTCCAAAGTAGGACACGAAACTGGGTCCAGCCATTTTCAAGTGTTGGAGCGACATCAATAGAGAAAATCCCAAAGAAAAAATTATTTGTTTGGGAACTGAGGGCATTTATGTAAGTATTGCGTATAAACTTCTGGAACACCCAAACAAGTTCTTGCTAATTGTTAATACTCTGTATGAGCACATTCATCTATGCTAACATGTCTGTTGCATCACTTATTATTCTCCGTTTCCTCTAATGTGACGGTTGGAATGTGGCACATTTGCATGGCATTAACTTTCTGCAGTAGCTAATCTGTTTGTACACAGCTTCTGATGAAAGGAAGCTGTGTGATTTTTATTTTATTTTCCTCCTTACCTCAGCAGGCAGTAAGCAGGCCCAGCAGTCCACAATGCCTCATTGAAATGCCAGACTTGAGAGGGGCAGTTGCTTTAAAAGGCTCTCTGATTACTCGCATCAATAGGACCCTATTTGTTGTGGCTCCCGCAGCAACTGCCAAAGCAGATGGGTTATAATTCAGGCCGATTTGCACTGCTTAAATCCTATAATGATTCCCCAACACTCCCAAAGGCAAACGCTAACTGCCATCTCAGAAGTCTGAATGCTTCCGTGATGGACTGACTGTAAAGAGAGCAGGTACGCGTTGACTTACTGTGAAATCTGGCTAATTGTCAGTTCCGCACATCGACGCCATCCTATATCTACGCTACAGTTCTCCCTTGCGCCAAATAAAAAAACAAATCACCTATAATGCAGCACTTGGAAGAGCAATTCATAGTGATTTGTTTACAGGGTTCTACCATGACCAATTTGATGCACTATTTTTTTAAACGTCAAATGTCACTTAAAGGTACAGTTCACCCAAAATGAAAATCCGGGCATAATTTATTCACTCTCATGCCATTGTAAACCTGTATGATTTTCTTTCTTCTGCTGCACACAAAAGAAGTTCATAAAGAGAAAGTCAATGGGATCCAACTTTTCTTTTGGACCCCATTGACTTTCATTGTATGGACAAAAACATTCTTCAAAATAGCATCATTTGTGTTTCACAGCAGTGTTATTTCAGCACGGTTTATATATTGTAATATATTTTATTCATATTTTTAATTAGTTTATTTTTTTATTTTTTGTTTTAATTAAAAAAATTGTAATTTTGTTGTGTGTTTTGATATTTAAGTAATTTCTTAAATATTACTGTTTATTTATTTTTTTCCGTTTTCGTTTTAGTTCCATTTTAGTTTTTATTTCCAATTAGTAACTTTTTTACAACTTAAAGTTTGTATTCTAATATTTATGTTTTATTTCAAATTTGTTTTAATTTTAAAAAATGTTTTTAATTGTTGTAGTTTTAGTCTAGGATAACCCTGTTTTGAACGACATGAGGGTGAGTAAATGACCAAATGTTAAATTTTTGGTAAGCTGTCCCTTTAAAGCCGAAGTGTGTCACCAAAGGGATAGTCCAGCCCCCAAACTCACCCCATTGGTTGAGCCATTGTTTTGGGCCAATCGGGATGCTTAAAGGGATACTCCACCCAAAAATGAAAATTCTGTCATCATTTATTCACCCTCAAGTTGTTGCAAACCTGTATGAGTTTCTTTCTTCTGCTGAACACAAAGGAAGATATTTTGAAGAACGATTGGAACCAAACAGTTGTTTGGCACCATTGACTTCCATAGTAGAAAAAAAAAATACTATGGAAGTCAATGGTGCCAAAGTTCCAATCGTTCTTCAAAATATCTTCCTTTGTGTTAGAAGAAAGAAACTCGTACAGGTTTGCAACAACTTGAGGGTGAGTAAATGATGACAGAATTTTCATTTTTAGGTGGAGTATCCCATTAAACAAACAGCGCCACACTTTTCACAGAAATCAACCTACTAATATGGCTTATGTATAGCTGTCTCTGTGGGATGGGATAGAAAAGTACTTTAGGATCAAAAACTTACCTTCATTGAGACCCATATGAATACTCCAGTAGCTCTGCAGACATTGTAGCTCCCTCTTCATGCCCCTCTTGCAGCGGCAGTCATACAGGGGGCTGTCCTGCAGCACCTCAAGGGCGGCTTGACACTCCCTGTTGGCCAGCATGGTACTCCTGTCACGACCTACCAGGCACTGGCGCATGATGCGAAAGCGTGAGCTGCACTGTGAGTTTTGGTTGCACAACTCACTGGCCCTCAGGCAGTCCATGGGGGCTCTCCAGCCATGAGTTCCCAGCCCTGACAAGGCAGAATGGCTGGCCATGGAAAGTACCACCTCATCTGTGGGAAGGGCATGGGCGTTATTAGACTGTGGTGTGAAATAAGTTTTTTATTTATTTGTTTTTTAATGACTTAATTTGGAAAATAACAAAACTAGTCATATTTATTCAGTTGTCGTGAAAATAGAGTCCCAACCATTTTTCCCCCACAGTGACTTTGAGGTTGCAAGTGAAAAGTATTAAACCCTAAGTAAAGCGACTCCTGTCGACTCATGTCAAACACAATCCATCTTACTTTCAAAGAAAAAAAAAAAAGCATGACTCTGCTCTTTTGCCATGTGCTGTTATGAAATCATGTGATGTGGGTGTGTCTGTTGAAGAAAATGAGTTTGATGGGTCCTATAGACCCTATGTAGCCCCGCCCCTGTTCAGCGCTGTGCTCATTATATTCTGTTTTCCGGTTTGTATTTCCACAGCATGAAGGTAAGATCTTACGGATTTAGAATGAACCACAATATTTTTTTTTTTTAAGTGGCTGCACACTTGTTTAGCTGGCACATAAGGTCTATATTTAAGAAGAAAACATTTAAAATGTACAATTTATGACAATGCAACCTGAATATGTAGATGTAAAAAATCCTAGGTGTATAAAAGTTTTTATTATATAAGTGGTTTTCTCTGCCCCTCCACTTCCCGTGTGTTCAGCACCATGGACAGTTCCTCTTTAGCACGCACACAGTACATGCCAATCTCTGTGCTTTCCCCCCCAAAAGCATCATTATTTAATTAGCACGTAAAAGAAAAAAACGTTTACAGGTTATTAGAGACAAATGCATACCTAAAAAAATATTTGGATAATTTACAACCTCTGCGAATCCCACACGCTAGGCCTAAATTTAGCTGTAATGTATTCTAGTATAATGTGTAATACGACGAGGTCGGACAACAAGACACAGCTTTATGTAGGCTTACTTTAAAGCATAAATACAACTAATGATAATTAATGAGACACAATGAGGTTCGTTTTGCGTAAGTGTTGTGGTCCTATCTTCAACGCAATTTTTTGAATTGCTGTTTTGGTTACAGATAGCTGAGATGAATGTTTAATAAATTATGTACAATAGCCTATTTATGTAGGCTATTTGTATTTCTCCAGGGTACTGTTTGGTAGACCACCAATCCAAACTGAAAGTGCTTGAACAGCGTACTGTTGCTATGGTTACAAGCAAACGCGATTAAATGTTTAAAAATAATTATTTGGCGGCAGGTAAAAACGTAATTTTGGGATTGCTTTTTTTTTCATTGAAAAGTATTCAGGCTATGTGCTTTTTATTTAGCCTATGTATCCCGACCCCACTCCCCGATCCTAATATGAACCCTGGACCAAAAAAACAAACAAAAAAAATGTATTAGATAGCCTAAATGAATAAACGAACCAACAAACAAATAACGTTAAGTAAATAAATAAACCGACAAACAAATAAGTGAATAAATAAACAAACAAGCGTTCGCACAGCTTTTATTAATGTCTAAAGTTCACATTAATAGCCTATATTCGAAACAAGTATTACCGAAGCAACCTTTAAATAAAATCAGAATCGTTTGTGTTTCAGCGTCAGCATTTTCACTATTTTCATTTTCGCTATTAAGTTTTGACATGGTCTTAGTTCAGCGCCTTTGGACCCGACAGCTCCCGTAACAATGCCCCAAAGTTAACGAGCAATCTACTAGTTGGGAAACGCGTTTCTGCATCGTAATATATAAGCATTGCGTTGCAACATTATCGGGATGGCAGAGCCTCTCTAGTATTACACAGTTAATTTAATTTTGATCTTTCCTCTGACTGATCTATGTTGTAGCCTATATGAGACTATAAGTATAAAAGGCTGCCAGCATTAAGAAGAGTGAGTTTATTCTGTAAACTGTAAACCGTCATATGCCTACTTTACTCAGGCAGTTAAACCATATTACACTCTCTCAATATGATAAATGTCTGCGTGGGTTTTCATCATTCGTTCATTCTCTCGGGTTATTACTTTTTTGTCTCTTGTGTCATTTATGAAACATTAGATGTACTTACCCAGTAAAAACAGGACGCTCAGAATATTCAGTGAAATCATGATAGATCCCATTCGAAGTACCAGTTTCGTACCTATTACGATCCCAGATCCCGTTAATGTTCGCAGACAGATCCAACGGTTATTTAACGGACGTCCTTTTCAAACCTCAGGTTCATTTCCAACAATCAGTCGCTGGTTAAAAAAGCGTCAGAATTAGTTTAAACCTTACAATTCCAGGACTTGGATATTTCCTTTTGGGACTTTTGAGAAGTAAGTGAGTAAAAAAAACAAACTAATTGACGTTTATTTGATGAAACTGTTCAACATATCCTTTCCACAAGAGCGTCGAAGCATTCCTCTTGTTTGGGAAGAAAAGGTAGCACGAGCCAGCGTTTTAGTCCGCGTTTCCAAATGTGAACAACACTTGACTATACAAACGTAAGATACTCTTTAAAAACTTTTATTTCATAGATGTTATGATACAAACGACAAAACTTCGAACGCCAAATAAGTCGGTTTTGTCTGTCGTATGACCGGTCATTCCTGCATCGTACAAACGCATGTTTTAAGCACGTTCAAACTGAAGTTGGTTGTTTGCGTGAACTAAAAATCTCTCCGGACTCCTGTGAGAAGCAATGAATCTTCCTCGCTGGTTAACCTCGACTAAGCTGGACAACCTTGACTTTCATCAGAAAATCCTTATGTGTCCACCAGCGTGCCTGTGGCTTTAGAACTGCCTTAGTTTTTCCGAGTCGGTGATAATGAAGAAAACAAACAGGAAAAAGGGCACTTCCAGTTCCACTTATTTTCTGGTTTCTGTGGCGCATGCAAACGCTTTCTCCTACGAAACTGAAGTTACATCTCCGACCCTCGGGGCTCTGTCGCTCTTCACGTCAGAGAGGACGCAATGAAAACATATCACCGCATGAATCTGACCGCTGCGCACTGGCTGAGTGCACAAGGGCATCGACGCACCACAGCACATCATGTCTGAGACGACCTTGTACTACACAAATATGACTTGTTGGCACTCTTGTTTGGATTTTTTCTCCTCCTCCATCATTGGATTAGCTTAGCCTACTTCCCTCACATTTACAATTGTCATTTAAAAAAAAAACAATTTAAATATTATATTAAGCCAAATAAGTTAATCGAGGAGAATTTGCCATTTTTAAGTGAGCACTATTATATAGAATGGGATTTGCTGCGAATTACATTTCCAGTGGTTAGTGTGTAATGTGAGCTAAAGTAGTGGCAGTGTAATGGAGACAGGGGCTACTTGTCACAGGGGCAAATTATCGAATAACAAAAACGTGTTTTCTCGAGCGGGGGTTTTATATTATGGGTTTAAACATTAAAATAACAATATCACCATATTTTGGATGAAGACAATACAAACCACAATCACTATACATCTCAGATTAAAGCAAGTTATCACATTTTTAGGGCAGGTTGTAACATTGTGTTGATTAAATAATATTTAATTATATTATAATTATAAAGTATTTGTTCACCAAAACAATTATATTTTTGTATAACATTTTGCTGTCTCAAGAAGTGTTCTTATTTCATACGTGTTTAAAAGCTAAAAACCTTAGGCTATAATACACATTATTTGGCAGGTTTCTAATGTGACAACTAACCTATATCTATATCATGTGATGTTGAGGAGATGAGGAGGATTCGCATCAGCTAGATTTGATTAACAATGACTCAAAACAAAAACTCTATACTTGAAAAACAGAACAACCATGTTAACCTGACGAGAACCAAAAAAAAAAAGAAAAAAAAAAGAAGCTTAAATACAAACAAAACAATTAACAAAATAAACAATAGTTGTGCATGATAATGAAATTAACAAGAAAGAAACAAACGCAAACCATAGCAGGTTGCATTTACAGATTGCTTGGTTTTGCACGTGTTCTAGTTATGTTAAATATATACAGTGTATATATATATATATGTGTGTGTGTATTAGCTACACCTTGCTTGTATCAGGTTGGACCCTTTTTTTCCTTCAGAACTGCCTTAATTCTTCAACAAGGTGCTGGAAACATTCCCTTAAAACTCATCTTTGATCACCAAAATTATGTATTTAAACGGTTTTCCTTGAAAAAAAAAATCTTCATGCCTTAGCTTGAATGTAAATCTACACCCTTGCCTCATTTAGTATACATGGTTCTATGAATATGCAAATTAGCTCCGCCTCCACTCACTCACACCAGCTCAGAGATCCACTTGTTTTACGATCACACGTTGACGTGGTTACAAGGTAGTTTGTGACGTCAGAAACACCAGTGATTTCAAACTGCGTTTTTGAGACTGTCTTTGGTTCACTGCAGTTTTAAAGGCCCTATGAAAACAAAATTTTAGTTTTTTAGCTTTTAGTATGAATATAGGCTTAAGGTCATGAATAAGTGTGGTCCAAACCAATGACAAAATTCGCATTTAGGAGATATAAGCATTCAAAACTTAGTCCCTCACTTCCGTTAAAATGGATCACAGATTTTTTTGACGTCACCGCGGACTTCTCATCACATCTTCTGTCCAATCAAATGCTCTCTGGAATGTAAAGCGTCCCGCCCCCCATGCTACAAATACCACCTGGCCAAAGCATCATTGTTGACACGTTGCGGAGCAATATGGGTTTTTGCCAGGGTCGATATTGTCCCCACTACTTTTTGAAACCACTCGCGGTGCGGATGTACCTAATACAAATAAATAGAACATCTTCAGTTAACTAGCAGGGCATTCATTTCATTCGTTTGTCAAATAATAGGCATTCTAGCACTGAAATGTGTTCTTTTTAAATCAAGCTGATGAGCTTGTTGCCGCTGCTATCAGTGACGCGGATACAGTGTTCTATTGTGTCTCGCGCACAGTCTTCACTCGAACGCGTGCTTCAATCTATCGTCATTGCGGAGAGACTCTCTATTCTCTATAGAGAGCACAATTCGTTTGAATGCAAAATACATTTTCACCGCTAGATGGGAGAAATTCCTACACATTGTCCCTTTAAGGGATAAATTGTAGAATACAGGGGGACTTTTAATGCATTGAGTTGCCGCCATGTGATTGGCTGATTAGTTATTTGCGTTCATGATTAGTTGAACAGGTGTACCTTATAAAGTGGCTGGTGAGTGTATCTTGGAATCAAAAGTGTGACACATAGCAACTAATCCCTAATAGCAATTATATATGCAAAACCTTTGAAATAATAAAAAAAATCTTCAAAAATGTCATTCAAGTAGACACGCTTCAGAGTGACCCTATATATTTATTTATTTATTCATGGTTGATTGGTCTATTTGTTACTAATTCATTGACCTAAGAAAACTCTAGCTTATGTTTGAACAAATTTGTATGTCTAAATGAAAACAAGAGGAAAATGCCATTTATATAATGGCGTGTCTAAATGAGTTGAGTTAATTAACCATATAAACAGAGATACATTTTTAATGTAAATCTGTAAATGCACATTGCCTGTCATAAACAAACTGTTTAGTATGAAGCATAAAGGCATTAAATTCAAAAGCTTAATCAGATATATCACTCCAAGTAAGTACATGCTAATTCGTCTCCAATTTCCTCTGGAAACAAAAAAGAAGTTTTTTTTTGCATTCATAGTCCCTCTTACAAAATCTTGTAACTGTATAAACTGAATATAGCTCTGAATAATATAAATAATTAAAGTAAGTACTAACATGTGCAAATGGCTTGTTTCAGAAGAGAAATTGGCTTTAACAGGACATTTTTCTGCCTGGTAAAAGCATATTCATGCACTTCAAGTAGCTTGATATTTGCCCCGTCATCGGTTGCATTGCTCTGCAATTCGGAATGATACAGTTATAGCTTTTTTGAAATCGACAGTCAGGGAAGAGAAACATGGCTACTTTGTCAACATGTCATCGTGCAGGTTTTCCCCCTAAGCCTTTTTAAAGTAGAGAGAGGAAACAGGCAGTCGACATAAAAGACGACGGTCCCTCTTAGCGAGCAGAAAGCAGCCTTTGACAAGCCCATTATGAGAAAGAAAATAATTGTCTCGCTTCTCGTTGCGCAGAACCCTTCAAGGTCCTTCAGAATCCTGAACAAAGCCGAGACGTTTTGATGTAGTTATCTAATGCAGTCATCAGTAATGTACATTTCATCCTATCTGCTCTGTTTGCTCCAATGGTGCTTAAAAGGGGCCGCTGCATACCCATGTATTCCTCTCACCTGAGTGCAAGCGTCTGTAAAACACTTCGAATGAGTTTACTCTAATGGGAAACGGCTGTTTTGTGCTTTAAGCGATAGTGTAGGATTTCCTGCTTTTTAACAGCTAAATGCTGATTGCAGATTTGTTGTCTCCCAGTCCTATCAATATTTATGATATACAGTAGCTCGATGTTCTGTGTAAAACTGATGGAGGTATTCAAATAAGCCTGAACGAGGCAGGCTTTTACTGCAGAGGAGGATAGAATATCATTATCCCGGCAGGCTGTTGTGCTGTTGTCGTTTATGTGCATTTGATATTTTTTGGCTTGTCTCTCAATCTCCCCATCAGCATTCGCTCTGCAGGATCAAACTGGCACGCATAGTGGTCTCATCATTCCGCTATCCTGAAAAAGAGTAACTGGTCGTGTTTTGGTCACTATTATCTGATGCAATAATCATGTCCCGTTTTCATATTTCACACACAAAGGCATGAGCCACCATCTTTGCCATCGTAGATTATGCGGACTGAGCCAATCTATGTGCTCAAAATGCGAGATTCTCAATGAGTTGAGTCATTTGAATCCATGTAGTGTATTTTAATGATGTCTTCATTGTGTTTTGCTAAAACCTCATCTGAGTTCCGGCTGAAATGGAGAGCGTCATTAAATCTACATGCTGTAGGCGACTTGCTTTTGTTTGTCTGTACGTCATAGATAAGAATGCAAAAAGTCGCATTAGCAGCTCTTTCTAATTACCACACATCTGTGCGTCGGCCATATTGGAAAGGTCAAGGGCCGCCTGTGAACAGATGAGTGTGAATCGACAGATGCCGTCTGCAAAAGGAAGTTGTCTGTTCTGCATATGCAAAGGTCAATGACAAATAAGTAACAACAAAGATGATAAAGGAAAAAAAAATTAAAACATGAGATAGGTTCATAGGAATTTACTTTTTGAATTCATGTTGGTTTCCTTTGTTTTTGAAAAACTTTTAAACCATTTTTACAAGTGTTTAAATGTATTAACTCGAAAAAGGTCATGTGGTCCAAACATCAATAAAAACTATTCATATATTTTCCTTGTCATGTGAGTAAAAAAATGTAATCTTTTTTTTTCCAAAACGAGAAAGAAATTATATATATAAAAGTTTATTTTATAATGAATCTTTAATTCATAATTATTATTTTATATAATTCATAAGCATCAAGTTTTAGGGATTTATACCACATGGCAATTTATAACCTGAACTAAACTTGTCTTGTCATAAAAAAGCCACATTTTCTGACACTTTTACTTGACGACCTTAACGCTGTCAGGATTCCACTAGCTTCACTCACTCCTCCCACTCGTTCACTCACTCCTCCCACTCGTTCACAGTCCCCTGAGTTTTAATCACCATCACCTGCACCTTATTAGTTCACCTCCCTATATATTCAACTCCACTTCACACACTCATTGTCTTGTCTCGTCTCTACAGACTATCATGCTACTTGCTACTTACATCCATTGATCACCTGCTAATCTTCACACGGAAGTCCAGTCTCCGGTCATCAGCCTTTTCCCAGTGACTCTCCATCTGCATCTGTAAACAAAGACTCTGGTTATCCTTCAGCTAAGTTCCATCCTGAATATCGTCTGCTTGCATACTCACCAGAACTCTGTCTGGATCTGCAACCTGTAAATAAACACTATTTCACTTACCACCTGTCTGACTCCTGTTCCATCCGTGACAGACGCATAGTCAGAAGGGTCTGTGTGGTCTTCTCTATGATGTAATTTCTTGTTTTATAATTTTTTTACTTCCATTT